AAATATAATGAGCAATAAAAAGATAAAAATTATTGGGGATGCGTACTCGAAATTCGCCTTCTTCACAGGAAACTACAAAACAAATCATCTTAGCCTTTATCAAGAGTATATCGATAAGCATTATGCCCTGATATTCCATTTTTAGTGGATTCAGATATAATTAATGCATCACATTAGGATATAAAGATAACTATTTAAGCTAGGGCATATTTATTCAGTAGGTATTATTGAATTTATCACTCGGTAAACTGGATAGCCCTTTGAGCTACTTAATGGAACGAGTCTACAACGTTTTTTACTTATCTAAGCTGCCAGTTCAGCCAGTTATCAATGGATTGCATGTGCTGCGTTAAATTTTAAATGCGGAAATTTCGTATTCGCCAATTGTCAACTACTTGCGATGCGGGCTTTTAGCTACTTCAAAGTCTGAGTTCTCGGCTGCCAAGAGACTGGCCGCAAGTGTATTTAAATAATACGTGATTCCTTCGATTATATCATATAGCACTTCCAATCCGACTGGTTTATTATAAAACCATTCTACAGTGCAGTTTCGCTTTTGGTATAAATATCGTAAGCCCGTTCTGAGCTGCTCCCATTCAAGCGGCAGCCGCGACTGCATTGACTTCCTTTCGCATTATATTCAACTCGGCTTTTCTTCGGTATTTGTGTTGTGCTTTTAAAAGATGGATAGTGAATACGAAATGACATCCGAAATTCAAAACTTTTATCGAAATAAAACAGTTTTCATTACTGGCGGCAGTGGATTTTTGGGAAAAGGTATACGAAATTGATTGTGGAAAATTTGTGAATAAATGATTTGTGATTAGTAATCGGGAAACATATTAAAAATTAAAATTGCAAAATGGAAAAAATGAAAAAAAAAAAAAAAATGTTCAAGAAAAACGTGAAAAAGTGATATTCTTGATTTACAAAAATTATATTGAACATATTTGTGAGCAGCTCTCCATTCTCTATAAAAAAAATAAACCAATCAAACTAAAATTAATTCGCCTCTTTGTGCCTACGAAAAAAGCCATACATATTCCTAACTTCAATATTATTGATATTGGGCTGTAAAACAATTTAAGTACCTAAACTTTGTACTCATTCAATTTTTTTCTAATGGCTTAACAAAATCCATTGATAAATGAGAACAAAAATTAGTGAAGAGCACTTTGTCTTACATAACTATTAACAAAGATTTCTATCAATAACGAAACTGAATTATAGCTATACATTATCTAATGCATCAAAACAAAAGTTCTAGTGCTGGAAACCAGTTTCTAATGAGGAAATAAACAAATCTAATCGTGTCTTAATTAATTGTTCATATACATGTGTTACTGTTAATATTTGGAGTATAAGTATAAGTAGTGCCTCTCATACCATTTTCGTTTCTTGCCTATTTCGGAGATGCCATAACTATAGCGTGAGCCCATTGACCGATTGGAATACTAATTAAATATTGCTTCTGTGAAAATGTGTGTAATCAGTATGTAGAATCGATAATGATTTTTTTCTCTATGAGTGCGAGCCAGGAAATATCATAGACAGTGTTGGTACATATATTCTTTAAATTTGATATACATATGTACATATTCGAGTGTATTCGATACCTTATCTCAGTACCATAACAAAGTTACGCCGTTAATCGTAATTATTAAATATTTGTATAATCTTTAAACAAGAGTTATGGAATTAAATCTCCTAAGAAACATTTATGCTAATAAAGTTGAAGCTAAGATAGAGTTTTGATTGCTATTCGTGGTTTCCCTTACAGTGGTAATTGAAAAGCTGCTGCGAGCGACAGATGTCAAACGCATCTATGTGCTAATCAGAGCCAAGAAGGGGGAGGGTATACTGCAGCGGCTGGAAAAATGGAAGGACGAAAGCGTAAGTAAGTCACAGGACCAACCAGACAAGCGATTCCGATTGGCATCATTCGTATTAGGTTTTTACCTTGCTGCTCAAATCGAAGCCCAGTTGCTGGGCGCGCATAGTGCCCATTGCCGGAGACTGTGAGCAGGCGGACTTGGGTCTGAGCGAGGCGGACCGTCAGCTGCTGATGGAGGAGGTGCAGGTGGTGGTGCACAGCGCGGCAACGGTGCGCTTTATGGAGCCACTGCACGTGGCCTTGGACATCAACACGCGCACCACGCGCCTCATGCTACAGCTGGCCAAGCAGATGAAACGCTTGGAGACATATGTTCATATATCTACGGCATTCTCAAACTGTGTCATTAAGCGCATTGGCGAAGACTACTATCCGGAGCACTTGACCTGCAGCGTAGACACAGTTCTGGCGCTGAGAGAGCGGCTCAGCGATGAGCTGATCGACAGCATGGCGCCAGTTCTGTTGGGCAAGTTTCCCAATACATACACCTACACAAAGGCCCTGGCCGAGCAGCTGGTCCAGACGGAAGGGGCTGGTCTGCCCATATGCATCCTTCGGCCGGGCGTTAGTAAGTGGAATGTTCATCAAATGATCTTAGGTTAAATACATATCATGTCATATGCTCAGTTATTTGCAGTTACAAGGAGCCCATCTCTGGCTGGGTTGACAATCTCTATGGTCCGATTTCCATATTCCTCGGCACGGCAATCGGAGTTTTGAGAATTATCTGTCTCAACCTCCAGACACACGCCCACTTGGTCCCTGTGGACTACTGCTCCAACTTGATCTTGGCCTGCGCTTGGCAGACAGCCAAAGACAATGCCGCACGCCTCAAGGAACCAATTGAAGCAGCTGCCCCGACTACTGAGCAGTGCCCGCCGACCGTCTACAACTACGTGCCTAGCGATCGCAACATGCTCACCTGGGGTGGCATCAAATCGAAAGCCGAAAGCCTTGGCCATGTCTACCCGCTGAGCAGAATGATATGGCTGCCCTTTTTGCACGCCACGACCGTGCCCTGGCTGTTCAAGTTGGCCGCCTTCTTCTACCACATTCTGCCCGGCTACTGCATTGACGTGGTGCTGCGCCTGAGAGGCCGTAGCCCTCGCATGATTAAGCTCTACGAGAAGATACATAAGAATGTGGAGACTCTGTCCCCGTTCACAAACTCCAACTGGTACTTCGAGTCGAACAATACTCAGGAGCTGTGGCAACGACTCTCCCCAGAAGACCAACAGCTCTTTCACTTCGACATGAACAGCATGGACTGGGATAATTATATGCGTATAGCTACGGCCGGAATGCGCATCTTTATTGCCAAGGAGGAGCCTGAGTCACTGGAGCGCGGCAAACAGAAATTGAAACGGTAAAGCTAACTGAAATTCTAATTTATTCGAATTTATACTCAATACTCAAACTTCTAATTTCCTCTTCTATCACGCAGATTTTATATACTCCATCGGGCGCTGCAGCTCATCGTTTGCAGTGGAGCTGCTGCCATTTTGTGGTCGCTGCTTAAATTTGTATTCTAGATTTTAGGTTTTTGTACATGTGTAGAACTAGTTCAATAAATAGTTGGCTTAATATGCACTCACTGCCTCTAGTCACTCCAGCGCAGGATAACTTGGGCGACGTCTGCCAAATGGCGGCCATCAAATAAAGAGCTGTCAGCAGCGCCGAGTGCACCATTTGAACTTATCGACAGCTTGAAGCAGACTGAGCCTTGAAGTAGCTCGGCGACTGGCACCCACCCACCCGTGCAAGTCAATTGGCCACATCCGCTTCCCACGGCCAGACCGACAGGCGGAAGCTGGCAGCATTTTGCGGCAATGGCGCGGCCGGAGGAAGAAGTTTGCCGCCATTTGCTTGCGGTTGGCGATTAGCATAATTCGATTGAGTCCTTGTGGCATGAGTCAGAGTCGGGATAACTACAATCTATGGCTAATTTATGGGGCGCCAACTTACGATTTCTATGTCCGGGCCGCGCATCCTTCCCCGCCTCCTCGTCGCCCTCCACTTGAACACTGTTCGACTTGGCGGGCGTCTGCTTTATCGCTATGCTGGCTGCCTCCAGGATTGGCGGCACAGCCAGCGCCTGCTGCTCATTGGGCACAAACTTGTATTTACCACGAAAGCCTTTGGCGGTGCGATTCGAGCTGGCATTGAACTCCAGCAGCAGATCGGGTCCGCTGCTCAGTATGCGGCGCGTGGGGCACGGAGCGCAGAGCACATCTATGACGGCATTCATGTGCGCCGACTCCGCATCAAAGATGGTCAGTGCGTCCAGTTGACAGCCGCCGCTGACCACTGGCGGCAGCTGCAGCTCCTCGAAGAGCAGCTCCACACGGCTATCCGGGCGGCCAATGAACTTGTACGCGCACTTGATGTGCGCCGGATAGTTGGCCGGAAAGCGCGGCGAGTGAAAGTAGCCCTCGCCCAGATTCCCCTCGATTCCGGTGCTGGCAAAGAAATAGAAATCGCAGAAGCTGTGCGGCACCAGTCGACCGTTCGTCTTGAAGAGCTCTGCGCTCAGGCGTGGAACGAGCGAGGTGAACATAAATTCGTAAATTTATTAATCGATTTCACATTTGCTCACCTTGCTTGAGGAATCGATAGCTTGCCGTCAGATTCAGGGTCCAGTCGCTCAGCCTTGTGGGCGGCTGCTGAAAGCTGAGTCTCAGTCCCAGCAGCCTTCCGCCGCTGTATATGGGCGTGGCATTGCGAGCCGTCGCACTGTGCTGGCACCAAGTGTACGACGCCAGCGTTGAGTTCTCGATGACGGGCTCCCTCAGATACGGAAAGACCTCGACGGTGTCCAAGCAGCTGTCACAAAAATTGCATATCAAGAATTGCCCCACAGCGCTAATCATATGGCAGAATTTGTGCCACACAAATGGCCGGAATCAAATGATGTTGAAAATTTATTGGCCGCTTGGCCGGTTCGTTGGTCAAGCCTAAAAATAGGCAAGCGACCAGCGAGCTGCCATTAAATAAAATGTTGCACTGCCATTCGCTTGGTTCTACATCATTTATTTTGATAAAAAGTCTAACAAAAGTTGGCGTTAAGGTGAACGCAGAAGCCGCATGACA